ACACAAAAATAGAACTAATTTTTAAAAACAAATAACCTTAATTGTCAACAGCAAGTTGCAGATATAGTGGAATTATACAACACCTTGGGCAGTGACAAGGCTCATTACTTCCTCCGCGGCAATGTAAGTGAGGGAAGGCTTGATTCTTGTTATCTGTAAGGATTCGGTTAAGTTTGATGAGTGCAATAAACTTGATTAAATGCTGATATAATCACATTGTTTTAAATAAGAAAGTCACTAGTCTGCAAAAAGGAAAAAAAAGAAGAAGAAGGAAGAATTACTTGTTTGCCCAATTTGGAATCCACAATTTCTGCAACTAGATTTTGCACCTGCAAGCGACTCTTCAGTGTCTTTCTTTCCTCGGGAAGAAAATACAAATATTCATTATTGCCTTTGCCACAAAATAACACGACGTAGATGCCCCTTAGTCTTAATGAAAGGCTGTAGATGCCCCTGGTATTAGTCAAAGGCTGAGATGCTCATAGTCATCTCAGCCATTTACCACATCCATTTCACAGGCTTATTTAGTTGAGGACTTAGAAGAAGGTTCCCACAACGCATTCTACTTCATGATTAGAGCCCTGTGCCTATATCACCAGATACAGAGACTTTTGCGCATTACACTTATTTTTAGTAAAATACAATATTATTCTTTGGGGTTATTGTCAAAGAAAAAGTTGAGATGCCTCTCTTTCTTAGCTTATCATCCGATAAAAATTTACCATGCCAAATGATAGTAGAACTTGGAGGTCCTTATTGCTATAATTCTACTTGTTTTTGTTCATAGAAAACAAGATACTTTAGGTGTTTATCACAGGAGTAAAATGGAAAGAACCTACTTAAATAATCAAAATGGATCCAACCTGTCGTTTCTCTAATTTCCATAGCTAGAAGGGTTTCCGAAATGCCTGAAAATCACAATTTCAATTGCCGTCTTTTTCTTTCCCTCGTACGCATGTGCAATGTGTGTGTGTGTGTGTGAGAGAGAGAGAGAGAGAGAGAGAGAGAGAGAGAGAGTACAAGTTAAAATTTGATGGACTAGAGTTTAAGTGAGTCCATGGAAATTATATATGGATAAAGATGATTGTAGACTCGCCAATGTGTGCATTTAATAAATCCTAGTTTACCGAACACGGGTTTTGGTGAGAACTCAATTATGGTCTTGGATTTATCACCAATGTACCATGGATACAAGTAGGGTGAACTGGTGAGGACATGTCAATGTACAAAACATAGTTTTCAGGGATTATGGTCATGGACCTATCACCTTATGATGGGGCACGTTAAAAACGCATGAAGTTTCTGAGAGGAGGGGGCACTTATATAATAAACTTCAGCAATTAGTAGGAGTCCTTGTCAGTGATGGAGCCAGGAATTTGCTTCAGTGGGGGCAATTTTAGAGTTTGGACAATAATAAGAGAGAAAAAAAATAAAATAAAATACAAAAACCTAATTATTGACACACAATTTTTTCATCCAGTACATCTACAATTATTCTGAATTTTTTTTCACGAAAGCATTGTATGATAACCTCACTACTTTTTTTTTTTGGATGGTAAAGCAAACACACACTTTTTTGCCCACGCCGGGACTCGAACCCCTCCCCTCTTCTTTGAAGATGAGGAGGTTATACCTCACCACTTGAAGAAGGGGGTTTCAGGTTCTTATGTATCACGTCTTCCTCTTCACATAAAGAAGAAGGGGAATTATCAATTAATCTTGAACTCAAATAGTATCTTCTTTGCTTTTCAAATGAAAGTTTGAGGGTTCAAATCTCATTATGGGCAATAATTGATGTGTGTTTGAGTAGGTCATCGGGGAAAAAAAAATGAAAAAGAAAAAGAAAGGAGACTGAGAGACTTGGTTGATGGATTGAAGTTAAAATGTAGGCCTAGGATCAATTAGGGTTTGAAGAGAGAAGAGAAAAAAGATGAGATTTACAACAATACCCAACATAGAAAATATGTCTAACATCTCTACCCGCATGCATTTATATTAATAAAAAATGAGATTTACAACCAAGTAATCATACAAGCCAAGTTTTGAGAAAGAAATTACTTACTACCCTAATAACATCAATTAATCATACAAACAACCCATCAATGATGGCCTTATTCCTTCTTTGCCATGTGAAGAAAAATAGATGAGGAAAGAAACCTTCCACATATTATGCTTTATCGATGCCCTTGGAAACGACAGTAGACAAGTCATGACAAGAGAAGAGAATAATATTATTCATGAATATATCTAATAAAATCAACCACATTGTCCTAAACTGTTTATTCATCTTTACGTTATCTTAACATAATATTCTTTTACTTAGTTCCACAGGAAGCATGTTGACAGTCAATGCTCTAAATCAGAACAAGAAATGTGTTTTATATGTTTTAATATGTCATAACATTGGATCAGTTAAGAAGTGGACATTGGGAGCATCTTTCACTTTAAAATTATTGGTGCATCATAGTTTCTCAGCCTAATTACATCTGAGGTCAAGAGGGGGGAAATTCTCTCATGAAAGATGAATTTTAAAGATTAATATTCTATACAATTTGAAATAAAACATTGATATCCATCAGGATTATTATTGAGTGAGTTACACTAACCTTAACTCCAAGTTTCTCGCAAATGTTTTCAGCAAGAAGAAGAGAATATGCAGAATGCTTGTCTGCCCTGGATGGATCTGAAGAAAGAATAGTTAATACTAAGCTGCTTCAGTGAATTGAAATAACATGTTCCTTTACCTCCAATTAGCAATTCTCTATCAGATATTACAATGATTGACAAGGGCATATCTTCTCCTTTCTTGAAAGATTTTTGAATATTTATGATGGTTTCCTTCAAGATATCATAGTTCATCGGGTTTCCAATCTGCAGCATATGAAAAAACATAAAGGATGAGAACACAAAGAAGGTTTTTGAAATGACATAAGATGACAAGAGATATTCTTCCATCTGAGACCATACCCTGTGGGAAACCCTGACATTTTTTAGCTTTCCTTGACCAACAAATTTCCTTTCTCTGTTTCTGTCTTCCATTGGCACATCTGATAATATTTCCTACAATATATGCTAAAGATCATAAAGCATAATTTTTTTTGATTGATTCTCTTACAATCTAAGAACTCAATGCCCGTGCAAGCTCAAACAATAATTTATCTTGCATCTAATATAAGAAAAAGGAGAAAGAAAGACATGTCATGTCATCAGTGGTCTTGGAAGTAACATTATAGGAGATACTGCAAATACCTATTAGCAAATTAGCTTCCAGTTGAGGAGGAAAAACAACTAGCTTCCAGTTAAAGGCAAAAGCATTTCGTATTGAATGCCAATAAATGAAAGAAAAAACAATCAAATTTGAAATTCCCATATATGCTTCTATCAAACAAGCAATCTATGTTGCCAAGCTTCTGATCGAAGCACCATACACTCTTTGCACTACTAAGAGCTGAACAAGAAGAGATGTTATGATGTTCAATCTATTGGTAGAGCTAGAGAGGGAGAGGGAGAGAGAGAGAGAGAGAGAGAGAGAGAGAGATGTGGAAATTCAATTGGGAGAGTTTGCACATATACTCACATATTTGGCTGTGTTTCCAGCAGATTATGTATAATTGTTCAGAATTTGTTCCACATATACCTATTGTGACTATTATTCTTCTGTGTATGTTAGTAAATGCTGAAGGTGTCAATGAATTTCAATTCGCTTGAATTACCAATTTCATATGAAAAACCAAGGTGAATTGAGATATCATCTAGGGAAAGAGGGAACTAATATGCCCAAGGAATCTCCCTTTCACAAAGGAATTATGTTACTGATTTTTCTTAAGAGAGACTACAAGTTGATACACCAATATCAAATGTGAAATTTGAGATAGATGGGAAGTTGGGAACAATACAACTGATAGAAGTATCCCCTAGTTGGGGTATGATCCCTCTTATTTGTTTTATAAAAGATAAGAGTAGCTTTATATATATATATTTTTTTCATCAAAAAATCACTCTCACAATTCCTCTTAAGCCGGCAGAAATCTGGTGAATTTCTTCTTTCACATCCAGAGAATTGGGGAAATCACATTGCTCGAGCATCCATAAGGACCACACAACTAATGCCAGAGTTTTTGATTCAGTAATCTGGAAATCAATACTGAGTAACAGGGAGTTTTTATTAGAACATCTGATTTATACTATTGGTGATTGTCAGACTTTCAACCTATTTTATGACCCATGGTATAATGGTTTTACTCTTCAGCAAAAATTTGGTCTTAGAAGACTTCTTCTGGCTGGTCACTCCTATTCTGATAGAATGTTCCCCCAAGTTGGCCTGAAGATATTTCTCAATTCTTTGCTAACTTGCCTGCTGTTAATAGTGTTGATTACATAAAATGGAAGCATGGTGTAATTTCTTTCAAATCAATGTGGAATTTGTGCAGAGAGAAAGGTTCTTTAGTGGCATGGCACAAGATGGTTTGGAACTGTTGTAGACCTAGAATTAACTTGCAATCTGCTCTCATAGTTCTCAAATTTTTCCCTTCCTATTTTAATCTCAGGAAAAGAGGCTTCATTGGTCCAGCAATCTGCCATAATTGTTTTGCATTCAGATTCCAGAGATCATCTTTTTTGGTGCTGTACTTATGCTCAGCAAGTTTGGCGATGGCTATCTCACACTTGTCATTGGGATGCTCTACTGTGTATGCAGCACTTCTCTGAGGTGATTGCTTGGTTTGTAGCTGTTACTGCAGCAAATACAATGAAAGCCAAACTGTCTAGATGCTTGTTCACAGCAGCACTGTGGTGCTTATGGAATGAAAGAAACTGCAGAGTCCATGGTAACACTCATTCTCCTCAACAACTACCATTTTTTTTTTTTTTTTTTTAAAGCCTAGGTGTAGTTGGTCTACCCCTAACTGATCTAGATCTCTTATTTGACGATGCTGGAAGTTGAAGATTGTTGATGGCTTTTCCTTTGTTTTCTTTAGGTTTAGGGTACGCCCTAAAACATATTTTCCCTTTCATTTTTTTTTTTTTTTTTTTTTTTTCTTCTTATGGAAGATGTCATGTTTGGAAAATATCATTATAGGAGTGATTTAAGCCCTTAAATCACTCATTCGGCAAGGAATGGTCTGAGGAGACAGCACCTACACGAGAGGTGTTGGGTAGGCAAGGTGGTCTGACGCAACGAGGGCATTGCGATTTTGGCACCACCCATTCAGGAATGCTTCGAGGAGATATCATTGATGGTTTATGGTTTGAGGAGACATTGCTGCTTCTTTCATCTACATATTTTAAACATGTGTACGAGGGGAAACGGCCTGAGGAGACATGGTTGGTTGGTTATGGTCTGAGAAGACATGGTTGGTTGTTTATGGTCTGAGGAGACACCATTGATTGTTTATGGTTTGAGGAGATATTTTGATTAGGTGATTGGCACTTCATTTGCAAAGACCTGGATTTTATTTATTTATTTATGGATTTAGTAATGGTTTGTTATGAGAATTTTATTTCAAGTGTGTAGGGTTATTATTTTTTATATTTTGGTGTACATTTAATTCGCCTGTGTAGGCCCGGGACGAGTATTGGACTTGGAATTTAGTAGTGGACTCATATGAGAAGAATGAAAAAAGGGAGTGCCAAATGGTACTTTCCTTGAAGTAGGTAAGAGGAAGGAGCAAATAAGCAAAAGATGTGGTTAAGTTTCTAATTTAGGAAATTCAAGGACTATAAAAAGGAGGAGGAAGGAAGACCTTTCATTTGCCATCTTCTCTTTCTCTCTCTATACATGCTTTTTCATGTCTTGCATCTACACTATTCACCTCCATCTTCTCTCTAAGATTTAAAGCCTTAGAAGTGAGATTTTGGAATGACTCAAGAAGGTAAGTTTGTCCTCTCTTTTTTTTCACTTTTTCACCAGTTCAAATCTTCGATTTGGAGCTTTTGGGATTTGGGTGAACTTAGGGCTTGGACTTTTGAGGTAGAGGTGTGTTAATTTAATTAACCCATAGTTCACAAGTTATTTTTATGTGTGCATTTGTGTCTTAACATGCTTTAGAAATGTATATTATGCCATTTCCGTGTTACTTGCTGAAAAGAGGAGGTTTTTTGAAGCTAAATATGAGTTATAATATACATGTTTAATATTGCATTGGTTGGTGTAAAATAACATTAAGTAGAAATATAAAAAGATGAGAAAGGAGAGAGTTGCGTAACGGTTTGAATGAGATGAATTACTCATTCACAGCTCTAGTATTTATAGATAAAAAGAGCACATGCTCATATTACAAGAAAGGAAACTAAATCAAATCTAAATCAAATCACAACCTATTGTAAAGCATATTCTATAGCATAGTCAAATCTCTGCTATTATGGTAAGTCATTTCATAAATCGTGGCCATCATATATGCTAACATATGCATAGTCAAATCTCTGATATTATGGTAAGTCATTCCATAAATCGTGGTATCATATGTGCTAACACTTCCCCTCAAATTGGTGTGTGGATATCTGAAACACCCAACTTGAACAATGCATTCTCAAACACAATCTTGCTGACGCCCTTTATAAGAATGTCTGCAAGCTGCTGAGAGCTTGTGACAAACTGTGATGACCTTGTGGGTGGGTGTGTCGTGAGTGGGTGCGAGACACTGACAGGCTACCACACTGGCGAGCTACGGGTGCACAATCCCACATCGCTTGGGAAAGGGAAAGATGAAGTGCTTATATGTAGGTGTGTCACTCCAATTGGTATGAGACCTTTTGAGGTAAAGCCCAAGAGCAAAATCGTGCCGACTCAGGCCCAAAACGGATAATATCATACCATGTGGTGGAGTGGGTCGTTACAAATGGTATCAGAGCCTGATCCAGTCGGAAGTGTGCCGACAGGGACGTCTGGCCTCCAAGGGGGGTGGATTGTGATGACCCTGTGGGCGGGTGTGCCGTGAGCGGGTGTGAGACACTGACAGGCTACCACACTGACGAGCTACGGGTGCACAATCCCACATCACCTGGGAAAGGGAAAGGTGAAGTGTTTATATGTAGGTGTGTCACTCCAATTGGTATGAAGCCTTTTGGAGTAAAGCCAAAGCGCAAAATCGTGCGGGCTTAGGCCCAAAGCGGACAATATCATACCATGTGGTAGAGTGGGACATTACACAAATGGAGTGCAAATTTGACCAGAGATGATCTTCTCTCGAATGAAGTGACGGTCCACCTCTATATGCTTAGTCCTGCCATGCTGAACGGGATTTGCTGCTATGCTAATGGCAGACTTGTTGCAGTAGAGTGAGAATGGAAGCGACACTGGAAGGCACAAGTCTGTCATCAAGGTTTTCAACCATAGCAACTCACCTACCCCAAGAGTCATAGCCCTATACTCTGCCTCTGCACTAGATCGAGAGACAACATTCTGCTTCTTACTGCACCAAGTAACCAAGTTACCACCAATAATGGTACAATAAACCGAAGTTAACCTCCTATCTGAAATTAATCCTGCATAATCAGCATCTATCCAAGCCTCAACACGTAAGTGACTATGATTGGCAAACAAAATACCATGGCCTGGACACCCTTTTAAGTAGCGAAGGAACCGAATAGCTGCATCAAGGTGAGGGGCACGAGGAGAGTGCATGAATTGACACACGACACTCACAACATAAGCAATGTCAAGTCAAGTCATGGATAAATAGATGAGCTTCCCCACAAGTCATTGATACTGACCAAGATCTGACAACAAGTCCCCCTCAGAATCAGCCAACCAATGATTCTATTCAATCGGAGTATCAGTAGGACGAGCGCCAAGCTAACCAGAAGCAGAAAGCAAGTCAAGAACATACTTGCGTTGAGAGATGAAAATGCCAGCCTTAGAGCGAGCCACCTCAATGCCCAAAAAGTACCGTAGGGGACCAAGATCCTTAACCTCAAACTGATGGCCAAGATAGCTCTTAACCTCATCAATTCCGGTAGTATCATCGCTGGTAAGAACAATATCATCGACATACACAATAAGAGCAACTGTCTTACCGCCTGAATGACGTAAAAACAAGGTATGATCAGCTACACTTTGATGGAAACCAAACTTGAGCATGGCAGTGCCGAAGCAATCAGACCAAGCTCGAGGAGACTACTTGAGGCTATACAGAGAACGACGAAAACGACATACCATACCAGAATGAGTAGGAGAACGAAAGCCCGAAGGAGGAACTATGTACACCTCCTCCTGCAAATCACCATTGAGAAAGGCATTCTTGACATCTAACTGAAATATAGGCCAAGATCGAATCGCAGCAACAAAAAATAATACACGGATGGTATTCATCTTGGTAACAGGGGCAAAAGTCTCCTGATAATCTATGCCATAAGTCTGAGCATAACCCTTGGCAACCAATCGGGCCTTGTAACGAGCAACTGACCCATCTGGATTATACTTAACTGTAAACACCCAACGACAACCCACAGCCTTTCGTCCAAAAGGAAGCGAAACCATATCCCAAGTCTGATTTTTCTTAAGTGCTTGTAGTTCTTTTGTCATAGCATCACGCCATTGAGGATGCGCTAGTGCATCTGCAACACTAGAAGGAACAGGAACAGAGGCAACAGAAACAAGAAAACTCCGATAGGAGGGTGAGAGAGCATAATCAGAAACAAAATTAGAAATAGGGTACGTACAAGAACGTTTACCCTTTTGAAGAGCAATAGGGCGATCATCAATCGAAAAAATAGCTTGAGAAGGCAGAGTTGGTGCCGAAGGAACAGGGCAGTCGATCGTGGGAGTAGAAGCTTGTCTCTGTTGTCTTCGACTATACAATTCCCCCTGCTAGAGGGGTATCATGAGGAGGAATCATAGAAGACGAAACAGGTAACAGTAGAGGAGTTGAAGATAGAAGAAGGTGATCATCCATTATATTCAATGGGAACCATTCACTTTGAGAACCAACTGAACCGCTATAGTATGGTGTATGCTCAAAGAAAGAAACATCCATGGATATAAATCGCCGACGACTAGGAAGATAGTAACACCTATAACCTTTTGAGAGTGAGAATAGCCCAAAAACACACTTCAAAGCCTTGGGGTCAAGCTTTGTATGAGTCTGCCCCAACTGCTGAACAAAGCACACGCACCAGAAGACTCGCGGAGGAATAAAAAAAAGAGATGAATTGGGATGTAAGATTGAGAGTGGGGCTGCAGAGTTAAGAACCCTAGGAGGAGTCCTATTAATGATGTAAACAGCTGTAAGAACTGCATCTCCCCAAAATGAATGGGGAACATTCATGCCAATGCAGATTGCTCTAGCTAAGTCAAGGATGTGGCGATTCTATCACTTAGAACGACCACTCTGTTGAGGAGTTTTAACATTAGCCATTTGATGCTCAATCCCAAATTCTATACATAACCGTTGTACCTCCCCATAAGTGTACTCTGTACGCTGGTCAGATCTGAATTTTTTAATGATGCGACCATATTGAGTCTGAACCATTGTCATAAAATTTTTAAAAATGTTGTATACCTCGTTTTTTGTTTTCATAAGATAAACCCATGTAACACGACTATGATCATCAATGAACAACACGAAATATCGATATTCAAGACAAGAAGTAACTGGGCAAGGACCCCACACATCTGAATGAACAAGATCAAAAGGTGTTAAAGCAGATTTATTACCACTAGTAGGATAATTGGAACGAACATGTTTAACCATATGACATGTCCTACAGGATAAATCTGACACTGCCACATTACAAAATAAGGATGGAAATAAATGTTTTAAATAACCGAAAGAAATATGTCCTAAACTCGTGTGCCAACGCATAAGCTGGGGTTTATTAGATGAAACAATATTAGAAAATGAAGCTGAATGTGCTTGAGGTGACAAAGGAGCATCCAACAGGTATAAACCGTCCACTTCACACCCACTGCCAATCGTCCGTTTCAACACCAGATCCTGAAAAATACAATGAGAGGGAAAGAACATTATACTACAATTTAATTGTTTGGTAACGGTACTAACAGAAATAAGATTTCTAGTCAACTTTGGAATATAAAGTGTATCTAACAAAGTTAATGAAGGAGTAATTGATATGTGACCCTTCCCAGCAATGGAAGATGGAGAGTCATCCGCAAGGCGGACCTTGCGTTGGCCAGAGCAGATACTGTAAGATTGGAAGGTGAGGCCATACCAGTCATATTGTCTGAAGCACCAGAATCAATGATCCATGGTGGCAAAGATGTAGATACGTTATGTGCAGAAGCAATAGTACCTGAGTGGGCATACGTGGAGGTTGGCTGAGATGATGCCTCCATTTGATTGAAGAATTGCTTGAACTTGTCCAAATCAGCTTGAGTCAAGGTAACTGTGGCAGAAGATGTAGAGGCAGGGTTGTCAGGAGTTGACAACGAGACTGGTTGTGTAACAAAATGTGCAGAGGATCGAGCCTGTTGTTTCTGTTGCGGTGGGCGTCCATGTAGAGCATAACAACAAGATTTGATGTGACCAATTTTTCCGCAATGGTCACACCGTCTGCGTTGTTGTCCCAAAGGAAGACCGATGGTAGAGCTTTGAACTGACTGGGATGATGAAGTTCCTGAAAGTTTGGGAACCCGAACTACCATAATAGAACGATCAAGAGAAGCAAAACTTAATGGATGAGTCCGACGGCTCTCATCTGACAACACATAGGAGTATTGATGCAGCAGCGGGTAGGGGCGATTCGAAATCAGAATCCAAGTAGAATAAGAAAGAGATTGAGAGAGAAAGGGAATAAGAATAGAGGAAAAGAAATCAGAAGAGAAGAAGAATTTAGAAGAGAAGAAGCATTCAGAGGGAGAAGAAATCACAGATAATCTCAAATTCACTATTAATAATAATCATAAAAAGTTGACTTTCACAATGTCTAAACCAACATATAAATAGGCATCGAAGAAAAACCCTAATCAACCTATTACTATAAATAAAACCCTAACTTGCTGAAATATCCCATAATAATAATAAATAAACAAAAATCCCTAATTTTATCTTTCTTTCCACGTCTCCAATAGTAGGTGTGGGCCATGTGGCTTTCAAGCTCTCGGGCCAGGCCTGGTTCTCCATCATTCTCTCCCGGTTGAGGAGAACTCTTCTCCGGAGAGTAAATGAAAATGTATATCTTCAAAAAGTAAGAGTCAATAAAATATAGTTGTTTTGCTACAATCCATGTAAAATCTGAAGCTAGAAGGTAATTGTGGACATCCCAAATACGATCAATCCAATCCATATACTGCAGCTGAGACGATGGAAGTGCCGGTGCCGACTCTGAGAAAGATGGAATGCTGCCTGTAGGAACACATGCTAACAAAATAGGAGGTTCAAAGGTGCCTCAGTTAGGTAACAGATACTCCACATCAAAAATTAAACTAGTACTCATATCCAAAAACCAGTCAAAGAAATACGCATTAGTCCTAATTTTTGAAAGATGTGGCAAAGTCCATCAATTTTGGCATGTTTCATCTTCATTAAAGAGTTTTTATGACAAGGTTGTGGTAGTGCACAAATTATAGCATAATCTTCTTCATTAAAGTCATGATTCCCATGATGAGCATATGCAATGAGTTTGTAATTCTTTTTACTTAAGACAATTTCTTGTCGCATATCGGCATGAAAATCATGAACAAGCTGAATAAAGGAATCAAGAAACTCAAGTGAATACATACATGGAGGCGAAGGATTATAATCAATGGACTGGCATGGTAAAGAATGGTAGATAATCTCAAAAGAACAACTTCCAGTACTTTGATTATTCAAACTTGTATAAACATATTCCATGATAGGTAAAAACAAGTTCCAAGTGTCTAGACACATGCTAGTAATAAAACTAACCAACTTTCCTAGACCTTGATTCACAACCTCAATTTTTCTATCATTCAAAGGACAAGATGCAAAAAGAAACTTCAAATTTGTTCCTAAGAATATCCAAAGTGTCTTCCAAAAATTACTGTTGTACTTGACATCCTTGTTTGACATAATGGCAGTGAATGACTCGTGAAGTTTACCAATCTCTTCAATGCAATCTTGAGTGATCTCATTTTGTGCAAATTTATCATCTGTTTCATTCAGTTCAACATCTTCCCTAGGATGTGTATGGTTATTTAGGACATCAAATGAATATGATCTTGGGGCTAAGGCAATGGTGTGTTGCTCAACATTCACGAGTGGCAATTTAGTTGGAGGTTCCTCAATTGTCCCATTTTTAATTTCATTAACACATTTAGGTGGTGGAGAATCCAACACCTCCTCATATGTGACATGGGGAACATCATTAGTCACTTTTTCTTCTTTTGCCAACACTGGAGAGATGTGACTATATTCAAAATTCTCTTTTTCAGATTCATCTTGACAAACATAAGCGACTATCTCAGCAAAATTTTCTCCTAACTTAAGAATTGTAGAGCTTTTGACAAGAGGGCCATGGATTGTAGAGCTTTTGAAAGACAAGACTTAAAAATTGTACCACAATTGTTCAAAACTTTTTCTCCTAACTTGTAAGATTCAGGTAAAATAGTTTGATTTTTCTTTCTAACACTAGCTAGAAGAGGACGAAGTAGCTCTACTGAGATATGGTCGCTTTCCTCCAATACAAGAGTCATAATTTGTTCCATATATCTAAAGATATTGTCCAAATGATGATCCCTTATTTCCTTTAAAAAGTACCAAAACATCTGAACAATTAACTCTTCACATTCCAAATCTAGCATTATCAAACATGACTTGACGTTTGCAAATGTGTTGAGAATTTTGACCCTTTTACCATACGATGGTCTAGATGTATCAGATAGATTTTCAAAAGATGATACAATCACCTGGAATATTTCTACCATTTGATCATCATTATAGGGAAAATCTGGGGCTGTAATCCTTGTTAACTCACTAAGGCATGAGGCTACTGCAACTCTAATATCACCATTTGAATGCTTTAAAAATTCTTTAGCAATTAAAGCTTTCATTATTGGGGAGAGTGCAACTTGCATTGAAGCACATGGGTCCTGGCGTACTTTGCAAAGCTAGTGGTCTGTTTTGTTAAGCAACCAAAGGAGCTCACTGATTGAGGATGGAGGTTGAAAAAGCCTATTTCCAATTTTCAGAAGTTGCTCCAAATTTATTTTCATTGTTGTTTTTGCTTCCCTTTCATTTTCACACCAGTTAATTCTATTTCCGTGTGATGGGAAGCTTGGTTTGGACTCAACAATCTTAACCTTGCTTGGCTTAGAACAAAGCCATTGGGGACATAAAACGATGCTCTCCTCTGACATTGTTAAGAGGATTAGGTCAATGGACAAAGTTAAAGAAGGTTGCTGATGGCCATGGTGGAAAGGTATGACATACGAATGGTTGAGGACAATGCCAACATAGAACTCAAATTGAATTAAGTAAACTAAATTATAAACTAGAACAATGCACAACTAAGAAATCTGAATGCAAATGAAATTAATTATGCTAGAAGTCATGCACTGGTTTAGGTGTAAAAATAAAGTGGAAACAAGGAAAAGATTTTTTTTTTTTAAATTAAATGTGCAACTGAGGCAATTTAAAGGGGTTCAAAATTTAAATGGTTCAATTAGGACCTTTTGCATTTTTTAAACTAATCAAATGGATAAAAGTACTAATAACATTTTTTTTTTTTTATAGTCGAAGTACATGAACCTTTTCTGCAGTAGAATATAGATCCCAATTGAATGCTCCTGAGTGTTGAAGATTACCCCAAAATAGCCGCTCGAATTTTTTATTTTATTTTTTGTGTCAGTCTACTACTGAACAGGCTGAACTATTCTGTTGTGGCTCTGAAATTTAGTCTAATCTTTTGAACTGGGCTAAGCTTGGGCCTGAAAACTCAATCTGCAACTTCCTTAAATGGGCTGGATCTGACTATTTTAAATTTGAGTTTGGTCAAATCTGGTTTATAAGGAAACAAAATATATCCTTTCCAAACCCAAATATAAACTTTCCAAACGAGACGGGATAAGCCAAAGTTGACTTTCCAAAATCAGCAGCGCTAAAATTTTGGTGACAATAAGGAATGCAAAGATTGCAATAACCCAAAGTTGACTTTCCAAAAATCAGTCGCGCAGATTGCAATAATCCAAAGTTGATTTTCCAGAATGAAGAAGAGGATACTGAAATTTCGGTGAACAATTGCAAAGATCTGGGCACACGTTGACAAATCAGTGTGAACGAATATCTAGGAAGATGACAACTAGGGTTTGCGTGGTTTTGGTGACGGTGAAGCAGCGGTGAGTGATGACGAAGGCTGGGGTATTTTGTTTGTGGCATGAACAGTGTGGAACTTGATCCTTTGCACTGAATAAATTCAATAAACTAAGAATCTTTCGCTCTGATACCAATTGACGTAGCAGCGGGTAGGGGCGATTCGAAATCAAAATTCAAGTAGAATAAGAAAGAGATTGAGAGAGAAAGGGAATAAGAATAGAGGAAAAGAAATCAGAAGAGAAGAAGAATTTAGAAGAGAAGAAGAATTCAAAGGGAGAAGAAATCACAGATAATCTCAAATTCAATATCAATAATAATCATAAAAAGCTGACTTTCACAATGTCTAAACCAACATATAAATAAGCATCGAAGAAAAACCGTAATCAACCTATTACCATAAATAAAACCCTAAATTGCTGAAATATCCCATAATAATAATAAATAAACAAAAATCTCTAATTTTATCTTTCTTTCCCATGTCTCCAATAGTAGGCATGGGCCATGTGGTTTTCAAGCTCTCAGGCCAGGCCCGGTTCTCCATCAAGTATGCATCCTCAAGAGTAGGGAATGAAGATAAGCCCAATAAATGAACACGAGCATATTCAAACTCGTCGTTCAACCCAACAAGAAACTGAAACACTTGATTCTTCTCCACAATCCCTGCACATAAAACTGCATCATCTAGATCCTTCCAAAAGTGGAGGGAATCATAATATGACATCTCCTCCCAAATAGCACGAAGCTTGGTGATGTAACCTAAAACTGTCAAGTCACCCTGAGAAATCTTGGTGATATCTCGCCCCAACTTGAAAATTCGTACATTATTCTGCCTTTGAGAATAAGTGCATTGAACTGAATCCCAAATCTGTTTAGCAGTCTTCATAAACATAGAACCAATAGTTATATTTGGTTGCATCGAATTGACTAGCCAAGACATAACCATAGCGTTATTTGCAAACCACTGTGGATATGCCTTCTCTGTCTCAGCTGGCTCTTTCTCAGAACCAGTAATATAGCCAATCTTGCCTTTGCCACCAATGAACATTTTGGCAGACTGTGCCCAAATCAAATAGTTGGAACCATTCAACTTCACTGTGGTGATTTGAAGTCCTGGATTTTCTGATGAGTTGGTGGGAATGGCACCACCACCCACAGAACTTGAGCCAAGAGAATTAACAGTCAAGACCCTGAATCTGCCATAATCTGTCACACGACAATAAACTTTTTTTTTTTTTTACCCAAGCCCTTCCAAGTGTTGGAGACCAACTATCCCAATTTACTCAACCCTAGAAGAGTAAAAAAGAAATTGTAAAACTTAAAAATATCTGTTTTCGATCACAAAACAATAACACAGAAAAACATGTGTAGGCAACGTCACACGATATCACAAACAGCCTAAGGTAGCTGTCGCACAAGTAGCAAGGCTGATGAAAGGTGTGGAAAGGTGTTGGCTTTGATACCAAGTAGAAATGTAAAAAGAAGAGAAAGGAGAAAATTGCGTAAAGACTTGAATGAGATAAATTACTCATTCACATCTCTAGTATTTATAGATAAAAAGAGCATATACTCATATTAAAAGAAAGGAAACTAAATCAAATCTAAATCAAATTACAACCTATTCTAAAGCATATTCTATGGCATATTCTATAGCATACTCAAATCTCTGCTATTATGGTAAGTCATTCCATAAATCGTGGCTATCATATATGCTAACATATGCATAGTCAAATCTTTGCTATTATGGTAAGTCATTCCATAAATTGTGGTATCATATATGCTAACACATTATATATGTAATTTGATGATATGAGTATTACATGCTTACTATTTGTTTGACAAATGCTCAAGTGACAAGTTATGCTAAAAAAATGGATTTTTATGCTGTCTTAAAATATCTCATGAGGAGAGATTGGTAAGTGTTAAATATCTCATGGATTTTTTATGATGTTGTATTAAAAAAAATTTAGAACATACCAATACACTGCCAGGTCCAAGATAATTATCATATTCTTCAATCATTTCGACAACATTCGGGCGCCACCCAAGCATTAATATGCGTTCTTTTGGTCCTTGACTCCAGTCTGATGCCTACATTTAAGAATCAAATAATAAACCAGACCGACATCCAAGTCTTTCAAACAATATCAACAAATTAGCAATTGTTTCTGAGTAAAGTTATACCTTTGAACCTGGTTTTGTGGGTCGTTTTACTATATTTCTAAGCCGTGTTTTTATAATTTCCAGGGCATGATTAGGAGATTCACTGTTTAGGAGATTATGAAATGTATTCTCTTCTTCCCTGACAACGTTTGAATATGCAAGCTGTGGTTTTCTCTTCCCATGAACAGGTGAAATAAACAACACCTGTACAAGTAAAATAGTACACAATAAGAAAGCAAGAAGACCAATTGATGAGGAAACATAAAACTGAAGAATTTAGATAAGAAGAAAATATCAATAATCTCTTGGTGAGCAAACATATCTTTCCTTGCACACTTCCAACCACTGAATTAACTTATTGGTCTTGCCAGTTTAAAAGCATGAAACATAATGCGACGACCAGATATTATTAATATAATTTTCTTTCCTAAGAAAATTAAATTAACCAAACAAAAAGATACGGGACCAGAAGAGGACATACCCTCTTTTACTACAAACAAAGGCAAAAACACCCATTTCCAGAAACCTGCTAATAAGAAGGAAAATGGTAGAAACACAACAATAAAACACCATTTATATAACCAACTGAACCCTAATCTGGTGAGTGCATATAGTGTTCTTAATTTACCTGTTACAACAAATACCATGAACCAAGAACAAATCAAGAATCACGACAAAAAAGTAAACACGCCACACCTAAAGAATATAAAGATTTATGTGGTTCGGCAAAGCCTACATTCACGGTGAGATCAAGTGAAAGATTTTATAATGCGAAAAACTGGAGATTACAAGTTTTAGCCCCCAAACCCTAGATCTCTCTCACACACTCTTTCCTGCGATTTTCAGTGTTCTCTTGTTACACACTCCAAATTGGCAAACCCTAAAACGCCCTTATATACTAGGCTATAAGAGAGTTCTAAATGGGGTCCATGACCCGCAAGAGAAAACACGGGGGTTGAAATGTGACCAAGGCCGAAACAAAATGCAGGCCACAACATTACATTGCCTTTATACTCTTGGCTTCGAAGATTACCATTCTGCCCTTGGTTGCCACTTTATTTCCAATATGCCCGACAAACTTGGCACAAACTAAGTTTTGAAGTTCTAGCTAAAACTAAAAGTAAAATCAGAGACTCTAGTTTTTATCACAAAATATGCCAACCTAAATCCTATTAAACCAACACAGTCATTCAAAAGAGATACACTCAACCTGAACTTCAAAAAGGCAAACCTGAGTTGCTTTTATATGAGTAGTGTACTCTGCAGAATGAATTGATAGAACTGAAACATATAAAAGTTTCTACATCTTTGATTAAATCAGGCAGTTCATGGTTGAACCATTGAACTGATTCCTTTAAATTGATGTGCTGAGGGAGACTGGGTACAGACCAAAGATTTGGAATTATTTGCCAAAGTGAATATCCTTAGCCTTGAACTCACATCCTCATGTTTGGCAGTCCAAATTTTACACTAAGCCATAGCTGCTTCATGCTTTAAGTCTGAACTGCTAAAATCATGTAACTCACACTTCTTATGATAACACATTTTTAGATACCATTTTCAAAGCAATGTAGATTGAATATTGTCTAAATACCTTTTATGCAAACACATATTATTTAAAGTATTATTTATTCAGTTGCATCATATTAGTAGTCTTCACAGGAAGTAATTATATGTCTTACTGTTTGGTAAATTATTTTCCTTTTACTGTTTTATATTTTCCTTTTCCCAACAACTTTGTGTTCTTTCTGCATAGAAAACTGTCAAAAGTAGATGAATCATCAGAATTTCAAAGAGTGTAATGGCTTAAATGCAAGACAAATGGTTAGTGACGATGTGTTTTATTGTATTTATGATAAAAGGATATCTTGCAAATCAATATTCAGTAAATCCATGCTCTATACATACTTTGTCAGTTTGCTCTAGCACATCATCATCATTTGGGTGGAAGTATATCTTTCCTTTTCGATAAAGTCCACAAACAACTGCCTGAAAAAAATATTCATACATAAAGAAAGAATTTAAAACCAGCAAACTACAGGGGACACCAGTAATAAATACGTTTAGAAGATAGCTTTACCTCTTGAAATCCACGTCTTAATTCCCTATATTTTGTTCCTGCTAGATTAGGAAAGCTGCATAGATTAAATACATTTTCTGCATCATAAAACCAGGATATCATCAATATTGAGGTAGTATTACTCAAGGTAACATGCTTCACAATATCATAATTGAATCACAGGATGGGGTGGGAAAACATGACATCATAAAAGGTGTTCCAACAGCTAAAGACCCAAACCCACCACAGACCTTCGCATCTAAGTACTGAGACTAACGTGCTTTTATACTGTATGACAGGAATACAGACAGAGGTTTGGTTCCTGATAAATACAACGCACAGAATGCCTATGACCTCCAAATAGCTGAAATGATTTCGAAATGAGAGTATTCATACCAAGTAACTACATCCAACGTGGATACAGGATGTTCTAATACGGTAAAAATTGCAAATATTGGAAATGATTGATTTTCGGTATAATGGACCTCTGTTAAGGAATCATTTTTCTCTTAGAGCTCTAAGGTCCATTACTTTATCTAGAGATTCTAATTTTAGCTCTTTGATAGTCAATGGGGAATGGAATCTTGACTGCTTCTCTTCTGCAGATCTGCTTCCTCTTAAGCAGTTTCTGTTTCACACTCTCATTTCTTCTGCTCAAGAAAAAATTATATGGAAGAAAGGTTTGCTTAATTTTAAGAAGGTCGGGACTCCTGTCGAACTCATTATTCTCGTGTTTCTTGGGCTTCTCTTTGCTGGAATGCAGGTAAGCCAAGGATTTCTGTAGGCTGTTGCATCAATATTCTTCATAAGCAACCAACTTTTGTTAATCTACAGAAAAGAGGATGGAGTTTACCTTCTGTATATACTAATTGCTTGAAAGCTTCAGATGATAGAGATCATTTTTTCTGTGGAATGTGATTTTTTTTTTATAAGTAACAATGAATTAAAAAAGGCGTTCAAAAGGGGAACGCGTTCCCTAAACATTAGAGGAACCGGGGTCTTAGGCCCCAAAGAATCCAAGAAAGTAATTCAATCATCAGAAGAGGAACAAAAACTCCTCTTCACATAACTAAAGACAGAACAAATAATAACAAGTTTTAGAGTCGCCGTAGACGACTCTTTCGCTTCAAACATTCTACTATTTCTCTCCTTCCAAATGCACCACCAAACGCAATGTGGGACAGTTCTCCAATAATCACGAACACCCCTACTCACACGACATCCTTTCCAGGCATGAATCAATTCCTCAGACGAATGTGGCATTGCCCAACACATGCCAAACAATCCAAGAATAAGATTCCAACAATCGTGCGCCATAGGGTAATGCATTAGGAAATGATTAACTGACTCACTATCTTGCTTGCATAGGTAACACCAATTAACAATACAATTTCCCCTCTTCCTCAAATTATCAATCGTCAATATCTTACCCCAAACAGCAGTCCACACAAAGAATGCCACCCTAGTAGGAGCCATAGAGCGTCAAATGGTCTTCCATGGGAAGTCAGAGCTGACAAAATTAGACAGACATAAGAACAAAGATCTTACTTCAAAGCGACCGTGAGAAGAGGGAATCCATGTCAAATTGTCATAACCCCTGCCAATTCCTTCCTGCCGATACAATTGGTCCAGAAAAAAACTCACCTCGTCCAACTCCTAATCCTGAAATGAACGTCGAAAATGCACATTCCACGTAATCCCACTATTATCAAGCCAATAACAGTCAGCTACGTAGGCATGTTTATCAATTGCAATACTGTATAATCTGGGAAATGTACGGAATAATGGCTGATCCCCGCACCAAAGATCTTCCCAAAAATGAACGCAACTACCATCACGAACTTTGAATCTGATATGAGAGGAGAAGGCATCCCATCCCTTCCGAATGGATTTCCATGCCCCAACTCCTCCCGCAATAGAAACCGGACGTGTAGTCCAACCACCAACGTCTTCCCCATACCGACAAGAGACTAACCTTCACTAAGGACGATGTCTTTCCTTCCTGTATCTCCACAACCATTTACTCAGGAGAGCTTGATTGAAAGGAATCAATCATCTAATACCAAGACCACCCAACTTCTTAGGCATGCAGACTTGCTCCCATCTGACAAGGTGATACTTGAACTCTTCTCCCCTTCTGCCCCAAAGGAAATCCCTTTGAATTTTTTCAATCCTATCAGCAATGGAGCATGGAATTTGGAACATAGATAGAAAATATGTGGGGAGACTTCATAAAGTGCTCTTGATAAGAGTTACTTTGCCCCCCTTTAGACAAATATTGCTTCTTCCATCTTGCCAACCTCTTCGCATACCTGTCAATCACAGAATCCCAACTCCTCACTATCCTGGAAGAGACCCATAGGGGCAGACTCAAATAAGGAATAGGAAAAGAACTCACCCTACACCCAAGGACTGCAGCTAAAGAAGAGATATCCTGAACATTCCCAACCGGGGCAAGCACACTCTTAGCCACGTTTACCTTTACCCGGAAACCGCCTGAAAACAAGCCAAGATGCACCTCAAATATCTAAGTTGAGACACATTTGCATCACAGAAAACCAGGGTGTCATCTGCAAATAGCAAATGGGAAATCTCCACCTGATGGTCTATATCTCTTCCCACCCTGAATCCCTTAATGATACCAAGATCCTCTGCCCTGCGCATAAGTCTGCTTAAGCCCTCCATAACAATAAGAAAGAAAGATGACAATGGATCACCTTGTCTTGTACCCTGAGTGCACCCAATAAAACCAACGGGAGAACCATTCACAAGAATTGAAAACTTGATAGACGAAAGACATGTCTCAATCCATTTCCTCCATCTACCCTTCTTTGTAGCAAATAGAGAGAAAATTCCAGTTTAAATGATCATTAGCTTTCTCAATATCAAGTTTGCAAAGAACTCCAGGAACACCACTGCACAATCTTGAATCCACACATTCGCCTGCAATAAGAACTGAATCAAGAATTTGCCGTCCTCCAACAAAAGCATTCTGGGAATCTGAGATAATCCCATCCATAACTTTTTTCATCCTTTGAGCAAGCACCTTAGCTATAAGTTTGTAAATACAACCCACTAAGCTAATAGGACAGAAATACTTAATGTCACAAGCGCTTCCCTTCTTAGGGATGAGGGCAATGAATGATGCATTAAGCGACTTCTCAAAGACACCAGTAGAATGAAATTCCTGAAACCCATCACCTCATTTCTCACTACCGCCCAACTTTCCATCAGAAAATGCATAGTAAACCCATCAGGCCCCGGAGCTTTGTCCCATTACAACTTGATAAGCCTTTAGAACTTCTTCTTCAGTAAAAGGAAGCTCTAGCTCATCTCTCTCCAACTCAGAAATAGCCTCAAAAGGGAGTCCATCAAGTTTGGGTCTCCAACCTAATGGTTCTGTGTAAAGCTTCTGATAAAAAGAAATGATCCCATTACGCACCTCTTCCTCCCTCCACAGCTCCACACCTTCCACTCGTATACGTCCTATGTGATTTCTCCTTCTATAAGCATTAGCTAGTCTGTGAAAAAAATTTGTGTTACGATCTCCCTCTTTCAACTAAAGAGCCCGGGATTTTTGTCGCCACGAAATCTCCTCCATGCTAACAATCTCAGCAAGAACTGCCTGACAGAAAACTCTCCTACTACAAAGAGACTCCACATCCCCACCCACCTCCTCAAGACGATCAATCTCAGAAATTCAGCAAGGACTCTATTCTTCCTCCATTCAAGATTCCCAAAAACATCCTTATTCCACTGCTTAAGATCGAATTTGAGAGCTCTTAACTTCTGTGTTAATATGAAGCTGGGCGCACCTGTGACTATTGCTCCCTCCCACCAAAATCGAATTTTCCCTTGGAAGTCCTCCGCTCTTAACCACATATTCTCAAATCGGAACAGGATTCTTCAAGAACACAAACCCCCACTATCCAAAACCAAAGGAACATGATCAAAGGTAACCCTTGCTAATACCGCCTGAACAACATCCGAGAATTTTTCTTCCCACTCCCTAGAGATCAAAAATCTGCCCAGTCTTGAGAGAGTAATTGGATCCCTGCCACTTGACCAAGTATAGGCTGCACCTTCCATTGGTAGATCAATGAGAAGATGCTCATCAATGAAGTCGGAAAACTGATCCATATCTAAGGACCTCCTTCCCCCTGCAGACCTCTCTGACGGGGACCTGACAGAATTGCAGTCCCCACCCAAACACCAAGGGAGAGACCACAATCTTTGAACATGGCTTAGCTCCTCCCAGAAAATAGGTCTCTCATTATCAACAACCGGTCCATGGACCCCATAAAAGACCCATTTGAAATTATCCTCTTCCATCTTAAACTCACAGGAAACAGAAAATCTCCCCATCCACACATCCACTCTAGACAACCATCTGCTATCCCACATAACTAAAATTCCACCCAAATAGCCTGTAGCATCCAAGGCCTCCCATTCCACAAACCTTCCTCCCCACAAACTTCTAACCACCCTATCAGAAATGGATGCCATCTTGGTTTCTTGCAAACAAACAACCTGGGCCCCCCATTTCCTTAAAGCTACCTTCACCACCCTCCTCTTATTCGGGTCATTGAGACCTTTGTGGATTGTGATTTGGCTATTGGTGTTTGGACTTGGTTCCAGAATATGTTGCATTGGACTTGGCCTGAATTTTCTAATGCCCGAAGTAAGTTTCATCAATTAGTGGATTGGTTCGTAGCTCATTTCAGAAATTCAAAACTGTCCAAGATGTTGTTTGCTGGCATCCTTTGGGGCATTTGGGGAGAGAAATTCAAGGCTTCACACTGGAAATGATTCCTCTTCTCAAGCTATTGCCTCCTCCATTTGGTTCTCAGTCCTTGATGTTGCCGGCCTTAGAACTGAAGATGTGATTTCTTAGATTGATTTTTAGGCTTTTTCATGTGTATTGGAAATAGATGTTTTCATACTCCATTTTTCTCTGTTTTTTTTCTAGAGGGTATAACCTCTGTTCTTATGTGCTCTAATGCTTTATGCTTCTAACAAATATCCCATTTATGAGGAAAAAAAAAAAGTTACAATAACCAGAAAAATAAATGAAAATGGTCAGAAACTGCAGCAATATCCACAAGCAAAAGGATGCTTGTATGACTAAGGTAAATAGAGAAAACTCCATAGAATGAAGTTTCTGTTTACATGTCACAAAGTGGAAAAGACCACATATAAGTTTGAAAACTTCAATGAAACATGGATGTAGGAAGTAAAAGCTAGGATATTAATTATCAACATATGTCAAAAACAAAAACATAAAACCTGCAAGATATATTGTTCCAAGATTACCAGCTCCCCCAGCAATAGTTTTTCATATTCATCAAAAGGACCAAATCGAAAGGGGAAAAGATAGGGAAAATAGACCAGGAAAATTAATAAAGAAAGAGCATGCCTGATACAAAAACAATACTGACTGAACAGGAATAAAAGGAAAAATAAAAAGAATATTTGAGCAGATTAGAAATCCTGAAAGAAATAAATTTATGTATAGCGGTCAAGATAAGAAAATTAAGAAAGAGAATTAAAATGATTAGTTTCAAGTTACTATTTTTAAAGTTATCTGACAAGATGATGAATGGAATAGATTCATAAATGATTATTTTTGCCACACTTCTATTCTGAGCAATACATATATTCATAATTTCTAAAGAGAATTTGTACATTACTTCGATAATTAAGCAAGTGTCTATAAATTTTTATGAGCCCCTTTTGCCGCGAGCACTGAACAAATAATTTTGATGCAACATTTTCCACAGGCTCTACTTTCAATCCTGATATTGACTTTAAAAGTGCACACGTGTTACAGTTTGAAACCTGCATGCAATCAAGAGACACATTCAGCTTGAGTCTACACATTCTAAATTTTGCAACACAAAAGTTAAAAAAGGAGTCCAAGAAAATTACCTCAACGATGGTGGGCACAGATGCCATTTTTGGAAGAGGCTGCAGAGCAAGTACACAGAGAAATGCATCTGTATCAACCTCATACCTGATAAACTGAGATATTAATATTAATGAACTTTAATGATGTAATTGTAAATTAAGAATTCTAAATAGCACAAAGTGTTATTCCATGTCATGATGGGGGCTGCATAGGCTGATAAAAGCCAATGCATAAAAATTGAGCATCTAATAGGTGCTTCCATAGTGTTCTAAGACCACCATGTATATGTCATTGCATCAAATTGCATATTTTTGGCCTTCCCCTTATCCTTTCAGCTCCTTCAAACCAATCCATCCCTCTCCCCCTTTGCATAGTAGCAGCTCATCTCACACCATCCCAGCCCTCTTATCTTATCACCAGTTGGTGCTATACCAACAAATTAATCCTTACCTTCTCATCCCTCCACACAGTAATCTTGACATCCTCTTTTGAGGTATACCCCTTTTGTGTATATGTTATTTCTTTACCACTGCCACTTTATACCTTAAAACACCTAGATTTTACAAATGGGAGCGCTGAGATAGACGAGCAACCCAAAAATAAAGATAATGATACAGCAGTATGGACACGGATTGATGGTCTGGAAATGTTAGAAACAATAATGAAAATTCCAAAACGATGAGAGGAAAGTAGATGACTGAAAAAAGACGTGGGAGTAATAGTGAAGACTTGAAGAATCAACCATGATATAAGATATGCACATAATAGATTGAAATAACTGCATCAAGATTCATGCAGCCAACCCAAAATAGTTAAGATAAGGAATAAATTATGATGATGATGAGGTTGTATCTTAAACCTTTGATGATGTCATAAAACCATTAGGCATTCAACAAAGTAAGATATGTTCAGATATATAAAACTTTCAGAAGTTATTATTGACCATTATTTCCACTGAAATTCTTGTAAAGACTGGGCCTTTTTTTTTTCGTGATTTTGTCGGTGAGATTTTGACTCTAGTGTGTCCGGGTTTGATTACAAAGGAGCAAATTTTAAAGAAGTTGGGGGTTAAGTTGCGATTTTGGGAAACTTGGAAAGTATAAAAGAAGGCTTGGGAGAAGGAAGACCATTCATATGGTCTTCTCTTTCTCTCTCTATATCTATATGTGTATAAACCCATTTGACCTCCACATTCTCTCTAGAATTTGAGTGCCTTGGGAGTGAGATTTGAGTAAAGTTCAAGAAGGAAAGTTCGTTCTTCTCCCCCCCTCCCCCTTCTCCTCCTCTACGTTTCTATGGTTTAAAGTTTCAATTCAAAGCATTTGGCATTTTGGGTGGCTTTGGGCTTGAATTTGGAGGAAGCCATAGAAGGGAGAAGTTTTCTCCTTACTCTCCTCTACATTTCCATGCGTTCAAAGGGCGATTTGGAGCACTTTGGTTTCAGTGGGATTTCTAGGGTTTGACCCTTTGAGGTAGGGATGTGTTAATCCTTTTACTCCATGGTTCTTGAGTTGTGTTTTTGAGTTAATTTGAGTGTTAAGCATGCTTTAGAGATGCTAGAAGGATATAAGATGCTATGTGTATGCTATTATTGAATTGAAAGGATTTCACATAAAATTGATATTGCTATTGTGATGCTAGGTACGTGAGACAATGTTGTGCATCTTTAATGTGGATTTGTTGGTGTAGAGTATCAATATATATGTGGATTGACAATTTGAGTACCGTGTGTTTGTAATAATGTCCAAGTGATGTTTTTCAATTCAAAAGTGGGTTTAATGATGCAAAATAGGGAACTTGCATGCATTGGATATACGACATGGAAATAGTGCATGTTTGAATGTAGAACCCATTGTTTGGATGCACATGCTATATGCTATAGAAGTGTTACTTGTGAATACATGGTATCTTGTGGATTTGGAATATGATTCCTTTATGTGTGAGGTGTGGAATTGAGATACAATTGCAACTTGGATGATTTCAGTTTGGATGGGTGCTTGCATTTTGATTGTTATTGATGGTATGATTCATTTCATACCTTAAACTGTTATGTGATCATTGTTGCTCATTTGTTGTTTCTTGCCTTTATGTGTATTGAGATGGCGGAAATTTGATAATAGTAGTGTTGAACCATAGAAGTTACAGAGTATGTCAGGTACAAATTACCTCAGTAGATCATGTATGCCACGCTTGCATGCCTCGTAGGATTGTGGGTTAATTTGGTCACCATAGCTTCTACGGGGCTAGTTTGCTCACCCCTATATTTTTCAGGTACAAAGCATGATAAGGCGGTGCTTAGGTCCTCCACAAACTTTGAAGCATGCTTTCGACCTTTGATATCTTTTAATGTATTTGAGAAATATGTAATCCTTGCTTTGCTTTAATTCAAATGTGTGAGGGCATGTAAATTACATTAATGTTGTGTATATTTTCATTTATGATCAAGTCATTGATGTGGAAGACTGAAGTATGTATGTATGAATTTCGATTTGAGATCTTAATGTAAATGATGTTATCCCAAGCTTTTAAATTAGTTTTAGACCATTTAAGACCATTGAAATGTGCTCACTACTCACGTAGGTTGTGTTTGAGTTGGGGTATGAATTGATGCACTTGAAGGCAAAAATTGGAAATTTTTCTAAGTCAGAATGCAGGAATGCACAACTTGGACCGGTCCAACAGTGTAAAAAGGTGGTCAATTCCGGAATACTTGGGTCCAAGTGGCCTGGGAGAGGGATTTTGTGTTGTTTTCAGGCCATTTTCGAGGGGCTTCTCTTAGGGAATGTTAGGGACATTGTGTAAGGGATTTGTAAGGGTGTTTAAGGGCATGCATAAGGGTGTTAATGGGGATGTTAAGGATTGGATTCACTTTTCTTTTCTTTTCTTCCTTTCCTTTATTTCTTTTTCTTTTTTTTTTCATGACAAATGGGTCCTTGTTTGGAGACGTTTGATTGTATGCTTCCATTTGGAGTTGGAGATGTTTTGCATATTAGATATACATATATATATTGGAGAGAGAAGATTAATTAACATTGAAAGGACCTATGTACCGCCCCTATATCTATACTAGTATTAAAAGTACAAGGAGTTTTTAGAGTTTCTATCAATTTGAGTTTCCATCCTATATTTAAAAAAAAAAAAAATTAAAAAAAAAAGAACATAAATTTTTTTCAAAAGAGTTTCTATAAATTTTGGATTCTTTAGAAACCTGTAACATTAGTTATTAATTTTTTCAAAAGAGTTCCTACAAATTTTTGACTCTATAACAATCAAAACATAATAGTAATAATTATAAATGAATAGTTATCTACGTTCCTATTTATTATTTGTTTCTATCCTTTTTTTATTTTTTATTCTTTAGTTATTTATTATTTTTTAAAAGTGTTTCTATAAATTTTGGACTCTTTAGTTATTCATTATTATTTCTATCATATTTTCTATCCAATTTGAGTTTCCATCCTATATATATATATATATATATACAAAAAAGAACATAAATTTTTTCAAAAGAGTATCTATAAATTTTGGACTCCTTAGAAACCTATAACATTAGTTCTTATTTTTTTCAAAAGAGTTCCTATAAATGTTGTACTCTGTTACTATCAAAACATAATAGTAATAATTATAAATGAAAAGTTATTTACGTTCCTATTTATTATTTGTTTCTATCCTTTTTTTTATTCTTTAGTTATTTATTATTTTTTAAAAGTGTTCTATAAATTTTGGACTTTTTAGTTATTCATTATTATTTCTATCATTTTTTTTACTTTGTTAATTATAAATAAATAATTATTTAGGTTCCTTTTCTCAATTGTATTTTGAACTCTTTAATTAGTTATTATTTTTTTCAAAAGTGTTTCTATAAATTTTGGACTCTTTAGAATCCTATAACAATCAAAACATAATAGAAATAATTATAAATGAATGGTTATTTACATTCCTATTTATTATTTGTTTCTATCCTTTTTTAATTTTTTATTCTTTAGTTATATTTTGGACTCTTTAGGTTTATTTATTATTTTATTAAAAGAGTTTCATTAAATTTTGGACTCTTTAGAAACCTATAAGTTATAACAATCAAAACATAATAGTAATAATTTATTTATTTTTATTTTTATTTAGTTATTTACGTTCATTTTTCTCAATTCTAAATTTACCTTTTCTAATGATTAAATTTACCTTTGTATTTATATCGAGTCATTTATCTTCCTTTTTTTCAATTCTAATTCTATTTGGAATCTTAATACTTAGGCTAGAATTCACCGCATTTAATGTAAAGATCACAATTGTGATGACGTCACTAGGTGCGATTTCACCACACTAGGGGCGATTTGTGCAGCTGCGATTTTGTTAGGTTAGGGATGAAAGCTTTTCTGGAGAATGCAAGATTACCAAGAATCTCGCTTGGAGGGGATGTGAAGACAGCAATTCCCATCGAGGGCCGTCATTGTACATCGACGGGGAGTCCGTCGGAGGAAGGAAATCAGTGCTCTCATCTTGCCTGGTCAGACGATTTGACAAGGAGGTTGGGGGGTACGATCGAGTGGAGGAATGGGCAGCGCGGGCTTCGAACACGTCTTATGGGGTGGGGGTAATACCCTTATCCAATTCGCTGCTCCTTTTCCGGTTTCCTTCTCAGGCAAAGGCCAAACAGGTGCTAAAGGAAGGCCGGCGACAGTGGGGAACTGCAACCTTGAGGATCGACATGTGGTCTTTCAAAGTCGGGTGCTATGACGTTCTTAGAGACAAAGGTCTCAAATAGATCCGGCTGTTCGGACTTCCTCTGCATCTATGGTGTCATGCCTTGTTTGTCGAAGTGGGAGAGCTATGTGGTGGATAAGTGAGATCTGATGCAGATGAGACTAGGAATGCCGAAAGCGTTCAAATCACAGTAAGAACAGGCTCAGATTGTCCGAAATTCGTGTTTATTAATGACAACACATTCTGCTATAAGGTCGCGATTTTGGAAGAAATCTCGTCGAAGCTTGTTCCCTCAATGGAGAGTCTCGAAGGTAGTGATGGGTCACACCTTATGACCATAGTTGTTAAAAGCGCCAAAGGCGCGCGCCCGAGGCACAGGGCGCCTACAGGCGCAAGTCATGCTC